TGAAAATTAATGAATTAATAGTAATGTAGTAAATGTTTTTAAAACATTTTTCTTGGAATCAAGTCTGTTTGGAAATTGATTATAAAATTGTTGTTAGCTGCTGTAGTTTACGTGACTTAAATTTGTATTACCCTAAAATATTTATTATTAATTTTTCTGTTGGTACTTTTATGCTCTTCCACCAACAGCCTGTGTTTTCTTCATCTCCTGATTTGCATTATGTAGTCAGTTTATTTGAAATGAACGTTTTGGCTTTAATGACTAGTTGGTTTGTAAATAGAAATACTAAAATGAGTAAGCACATATTTACTTATACTAGTATTTAAAATCCTAAATGCGTTTACATAACTACTGAGAAAAACATGTAATTATTATTTTTTTAAAAACAACCTAATGGGGGTGATTCAAAGTAACTTTTCCTTTTTGTTTTCTGATTGATCAGTAGCCTATAAATATTTTCCCTCCAGAGAAATTGTCTGGCTTAAAATGAATTAGTCAATGATGCTGAATGTTTGAATGATGAATGTTTATCACTGACATTTCCACGTTTAGTTAAGGCTAAATCTATAGCTGCAGAAATTCAAATAAGCTTTAGCAAGCCAGCTATTTTTACAGTTGTTGCATTTTTATACTTTATGCAAATTTAGAGGAGCGAGTATGAACCTTAGAGACTGAAATATTTGATCTTAGCGCACACACCTTACCAGGAAGGGCAGGAAAAGCTTTAGATAGCACTGCCTCATAAATTTACCTTAGCTCCTAATATGGAATGAGAGCAAGCTAATCTCCATGGTCTGTTTTATCCTGGTATATCTAAGACTTACCCAGCTACAAAGGTAATTAGTGCTGACTCTTCTGTAAACAAGGATTTTCAACAGCTCTTGTTAGAGTCGAAAAATTAGATCTTATAATTCACATTTTTCATTGAAATTGGATTTGATTTAAATTAAATATATTGCTTTTCTTAAAAAAAAAAGTATTACATTTCCAATTAAGATGATCTATGTTAAGGCATAATTATAACCCATCAAAATTAATTGAATAATTTAAAAAAATGCAACAACATGAGCCCTCACATTTTAATTAGTGAAATAGTGCTGCTTTTTTTAATGTACAACTCTGAAAAGATGGTTTCAACTTCTGAAGTCAATTCATACTTAATAAATAGATTCTAATGTTTTCATTAATATGATTTTCAATCTTTACAGTGGAGCAAATGCTGTTCCAAATACAAGTACTTTCAGGTTCTGTTGTGCAGAAATGTTTTTGCATAAATTACTTTTGATTACAGTTTAATGAGTAGGTTCAGGGAGGGTGTTTTCAGTTGTATTATTTTAGGGTTGAGAAAGTAGGAAATGGAAAAAGCAGGACAGCTTGTTTTCCTTTTGTAGTCTATCAAAATAAGAACCAGCTAGGAAAGGGTGGGATTTACTGTTCTCAAAACATGTAGGGCACAGGTCAGATTGTCAAAGTATTCAGTTACTGAGTTGGATTTCTAGATTGCAAATGTATTTTGGCACCTACTTCTTATGGGAACAAATCTGACCCATTATGACCACAAGCTATCATTATGAGTTCCTCAGTTTAAAAGATCAGTTCGTTTTAAATGCAAAATGTGTGTGTATGTGTGTCCAGGACACTTAAGGTAACTTTATTTAAATAATTAACTGTTTTAAAAATCTATTTAACAGATTGATTTCTGTTACCTTCCAAGTGCAAATTAACACAAATCAACAGAGACCTACCAGAATCAAGGCAGGGGCTGACTTTGCCAGACAACAATGGGGGCACTTTCACAGGCTTTTTGCAGCAGGACCCCTCCCCCACCCCCCACACATGCACACACACCCATGGCTCTGATTGGCTGAGGAGCCGCAGTGGCAGTGCCCCTCACCACCAATTGGCTGTCTGTCATGTGGCCCCACCCCTTGCCTCTAGGTGGAAAGAGGCCCAACCCCTCACTGCTAATTGGTGGAGAGTGGTGCGGCTGCACAACAGGCAGCCCTCTCTGCCAGTCAGTGGGGAGGGGGAGCAGGGAGGCAGGAGGGGAGGTGGCTACCATCCTGGCGGCTCTCTGTGCTGGCAGTGCCCTCTTCTCCCCATTCCCCTTTGGGCTGAAAAGCCCCAGTAGCCATGAGGACTGCTGGCTCCCACTGGGGAGCCAGCATTTTATTTTTAGTAAGTTGCTTGGGGGGGGGGGCGGGTTGCTGGGTTGTTGATTTTTTTTTGTGGATTTAGAATCATAGGCAGTTAGGTTTGGAAGGGACCTCAGGAGGTCTAGTCCAACCTTCCGGAGGATGGTCAAAGCAGGACCATCCTTATCTAGATCATCCCAGCCAAAGCTTTGTCTAGCCAGGTTATGAAAACCTCCAAGGATGGAGCTTCCACCATTTCACGGACAATGCCCGCTTTCACACTTCCTACAAAATCGTGAATTGAGTAGGTCCCTACACATCAACAGTATAAAAAAAAAACTTTTAACTATGAAACATGTTTTTTTTCTCTATTTTAGAACATAATAAAAACATTAGAGTTAAGCAAATGAATAAATATATTTCAAGCTATATAATTGCGGGCTGGATGACAGGTGCAGGGCCAGTCCATGGGCCAGCTCATAGGGCTGATCCATGGCTGGATCAGGCACATGGAGCCAGTCCATGGCTGGATTGTACCTGTAGACCAAGCCTGTGCACCAAATTGAGCCCTGGACCAACCCTGTGTATGGGCCTAATGCAGCACACAGGCATGTCATCTGGCCTGCTGGGCTCCCCAGCGGGATAGCAGGGCAGTTCCACACCTGGGACAGCTGCAGTGCACAGGTCAGCACTGGCCTGGCTACTGCTGTGTCGGTGGTGGCAGTGTGGTTAGCTGCTGCTGTGCTGATGTATATTTTTGTGCCCTCCTCTCTCCCACCCCCTGCATCCTCCAGAAAAGGTGGTGCCTGGGTTTGCTGCCTGATCACTTTCTCCCCCCATCCCAGTTATGTTACTGGGCCTTCCCATGGCTCAGATAATACAGCTCTGCAAGCCAGGTTTGGCAGACCATGGGTTGAGCACCACTGTTATAGATGCAATGTATCCTCCTATTTAGTGAAAGGAAGTACTGAATTTAGCTTAGAGGCTATATTCATTTACACAATAGAAACAGAGTTATCACTACAGTATTAGCAATGTCAAACATATTTTAATAAAAATTCTGTTGTGTTGAACTAAAGTCCAAACTATAGAGCGCATATCTATTTTTTCATTATGGTCACATATTATCTTCCATATAAGATTGTGATTGTTGCCTATTGTGAGCACAAAGAGCTATTTAAAATAATATTTTAGTCAGAAAATAGTTATTCTGTAAGGGAGATTTAAAAAACAGTGACAAATAGACCAAAAAGCAAACTTCTGTCTTTGAAATTAACAGAGTAAATCCTGATGACCCCTGAAGAATTCTAGGAAGACAATGTGACATTTGGGTTTCTCAATTTAAACTGCTTAAAAAGCTGTAGAGCTTCACTTTATCACTTCTGTAATTTTCTGCCTTTCATTACAGTTCCTTGTAACTCTGAGTCCAAATCAGTACACACTCTGCTTCTTACTGAAATTTATATTCCAGTAGTGCCTGTGAAGTTCCTTTAGGATTTGCTGGGTGCTACCAAGATACCAGACAAAATCCCTGACCCTATCATCTATCCTACAAGCAGCCCATGATCTAGATTTTTAAGGCATAATGAATAAGTAATAAATAGGGGGAAGGGAAGATGAAGGTAACATTCAGCCTATTGTATAATCATATCATTGTGCTGAATTTGAACGTTCATGTAATATTAGCATATTAGTAATTGTGGTTAAGTGGCAAGTTCAGTAGTATATGACAATAATAGCATGTGCAGAGTCACTGAGAAAAGAACATTTAAATTCCCCAAAATGTAAGCAGATTCAAACTGTAGAGTTCAAATCAGGCCTTCCCCAATGTTTAGTGCCGTTTAGACCTTAAATTATTTTAGATCCATCTCTACTCAGTTGCCTGCTTGGGTACTCATTTTCAGTTGCCAACATGGTTACTCAAATGGCACACAGAAAAGTGTTGGTTTCAAGAGGAATTCTTCATGTTTGGTGTGATTGGCTCAACACTGTTCCTTCTGAGGTGAATCATAATCTCCCATCACACACTATGTTACAAGGTCAAGAAGATAATTCTAATAAAATACATGTCCCCTTCTAATAAATAAGTTGCTAAATTCAGGCAACTGATGTGTTAAAATCATCTGTTGCTCAATTTCAGTTATAATAATTATAAGTATACAATGACTTAATCATGATTAAATTGGAAAGCAGATGTCTTTAAAGTAATAATTGCTTTATCTACATATCATTCATGCAGATATTTTAACTAAAATGAGGACAATAAGTTGTGAGGAAGGGCTTGAGGATCTGTTGCTGCTGCAGTTCATGTGGGGGAAAGAGGGAAGGAAAGTACCGTCTTTATCTCTCTAGTAACTTGCCTCCATGACAGGTTCAGTGAGTCTTCTATAACCATGAGATTAAAGACTTTTAGCTCCAGCAGTGAGCTGAACTATGCTAGCACTGAAGATCCTATGCTCAGACCTCACTAGCAGCCCAAGGGGGCTTGGTTGTATCTACATGAGCCCATGCTGCAGCTCCACTAATGGTGGTATGATACTAATGGTGGTATGATACTATGATCAGCTGTTCACTTCAATTTAAATAATATCATCTGAAGAACATGGTTAAAAAACTACTGAAAAGACCAAATTTTAGGGAAGAAATAGATACAGACATAATCTTGTAGTACTGATAATGACTTGTTTTCTCTAGTCTTGAATTTTTGGAGGGGAAATCTGTGGTATGAACAACCTCTAAAGCTTGAGTTGATGATTAAATATGGAATAAATTATTAGTGAGTAGAGAGTAGTGAGAGACATGGCCTCAGGAGTACTCACTGATCACATCTCCCCAGGAGACAGAAGGTAAGAGCTACCAGAGTATTTAGGCTTCTGTTTCTGAAAGTGTTTTGAAGCCTTGTAATAGGCTAGAGAAGCATTGTCCAGGGCAAATTTCTGTCAAGTCCCATGAATGAAAAGCAGACTCTGTGATAAGATATAACTCATACTTTGGAGGGATCATCATCCTCGTTGTCAGCTGCTGGCTTGTAGGTGACACCTTTGTTGTCTTCTCTGTCATTTCTGCAAGTATAAAAAGGCAATGTTAGCAAAAGTAAATTTGCAGGGAGGCAGGAGCGGAATGACTGTTTAAAATGCTGCATCTTATAACCAGTATAGCTCAATTGGTTGGAGCATGGTGCTAATAACACCATGGTCAGAGGTTCAATCCCAGGTTGGACTGTATAATCTTGTATGGTCCCTTCTGTTTCTAAAAGTGTTTCCAAGCTTTATCATAGGCTAGAGAAGCATTGTCCAGGGCAAATTTCTGCCAGTCCCATGAATGAAAAGCAGTTTCTGTGATAGGGTATAACTTATACTTTGGAGGGATCGTCGTACTCATTGTCAACTGCTGGCTTGTAGATGACACCTTTGTTGTCTTCTTTGTCCTTTCTGCAACTATAAAAAAGAGATTACGTTAACAAAAGTAAATTTGTGGGGGGCGAGGGGCAGGGTGGGCAATGTAGCACTGACTTTAAAATGCTGCATCTTATAACCAGGTCAGCTCAGTTAGTTAAGGTGTGGTGCTAATAACACCAAGATCATGGCTTCAATCCTGGGTTGGACTGCATGATCTCTTGAAGTCCCTTCCAGCCTTACTTCTTTATGAAATGGTCTATAAAGGTGAGGTCTTCTCAGTGGCAGCATACTTTGCTTTAGTCAGTAGTGCCAGTACTCGTGAATACATAGAAATAATTGTTCAGCATTCCATAGTGTGGCAGCAAAACATCTTACCTTTTCTGCCTAATCAGCCAAAAGGCTGCTGCAAGAATGATGATAACTCCAAAAATGCTGGCTAACACCACTGAGAGGACAACACCTAGAAGTGGGAGGAAAGCATGCAGGTAGATAATTTGATTTATGTCAGACCAGAGAGCTGTCATGTGTGACAGCTTAAATCTGTGTGTGTTGCATATAACACCACATGAAAGAGGTATGACTGGATAACTTATTCCTTTATTAACTGGGCATTTGAAAAGATTCAAACCTGAAGGCCCCAAACCTGAAATCATATCCCTACAGGTGTCTTATTGAAGTCAGAGGGCAATGTATGGGTCTGAGAGTCATGGAACCACTTGCTCGGGATTGTTTATGCTCAGTCCTCCCTTTTGCAGCAGACAGGATAGTGCACTATAGGCAGAATTCAAGAACTAGGCTAAAATAAGAAAGAACGCCAAATTAATTCCTGCTCTTTTTTTCAGCATGGAAGAACACAGTCAAATGTAGTTTTGCTGGAGGTGGTATGCTTTGTAATTAAGGACTTTGCTTGTAAGGGTTAAGGAAGGCTAAGTATTCATTCGTGATACTAGTACAAAATAAAAAATCAATTCATGTTTGCAAGGACTTTGGTGATGGAGTGTTCTGTGAATGCTAAGTAATACCGTGACACCTCTTTGATACAGCTCTTAAGATAAAATTCTTTGCAGTGAAATATTTTAACATTTTGGCTTGATTTAAAGATCCCAACCATTATTCAACAGCATTTGCATTATCCACTTGCTATTTGCGTGTAATGATTTCTATTTCTTTAAATTAACATTTGTCTTGTTTCTGTATGAATGTTTAGAAGCATCCCAGTGTGGACCACAGTAAATAGTTGATAGTTTTTATGTAAACTAGTTAAATGTTTCTTTGGTGAAAAATAACCAGGTAACATTAACACTGGGATCAGTTCAACTGAATGAAAGTTTGTGTTTCACAGCTTTACAAAAATAACTGTTAATTTTAAAAAAGGCTTTATTGAAGTAAAAAAAAAGGTCAAATAGGCAACAAAGAATTAACTGTTCGGAAAATATTTTGCATTTATACATAGAATTAAGACCAAAGTTAATTTTAGGAATTCGGATTTCTACGTATAAGATCCCCTTATTTTTTAAATAGCTTATTTGAAAGCATCTGCTGCAATATAACCATATGATTAAAACTGGGAAATATTTTTCATTTAATTTATGGACTGTTACCTCTCCTTATCTGAAAGGTGAGCATAGTAATGTACTTCAGATGGATGTTCTTGAAGCTGATTGTATCTGATTAACTGCAAGATGCTGTTTGCATGCAAAGTTTATTCTGAACATATTTAAGATTCATCAACTAATTCTCTAAAGATTGAAATGTTGAAGACCCAATACTTGTAAAAATGGTTGGTGAGACTTCAGCATTTAATCAACATCACAAGTGTAATTGGCTTGACACCATGCACATTTGCACTCCATGAGCACAGCATGGTAATCCCATCTTGCAAATTTTGTGCTCTTTGAAAGTCACAGGTGCTGTATTACCAACCCCACTGTCAAAAATCAAGAGACAAATTGAAAAATCAATAGATTTGGTATGTAAATCATGAGATGCTCTGTTCTGATTCTCCCCCCCTTTCCCTCCCCCCACCCGGCTCTTCACACACGCGCCCTGAGCATCCCCGCTAGCCCAGCTGGGGCCAGAAGAAAACATTCCGAGATTTGAGAGTTCTATGGTGAGATCACGAGTCGGACTTAATTTTACTCAGAAATCGCCACTCCTGCAATAACTTTGCTAGAGTTGGCGTTACTGCAGATATGCATAATAGGATATGCTTCACAAACATCTGGCTGCCTGGACAAAATCATGGCCTTATGCACAGGCTCTTATCTTCTTTTCCTATTTCCAAATACATTTTATTCCTACTTCTGGGACAGCTATGTACATGCGCAAGGTTCAGCAATGTGCTGCTTTCAGGTCCTGAAGAAGTAGTAGCCCTACAGGAGTAGTCTTTTTTTGTTTGTTTGTTTGTTTTTGTTTTTTTGAGATGGTGGTTATACCTATTAGGTAGTGTTTAAGGCCAAAAGTGGTGGAATGTATGTAGAAGGCTGCTTAGGAGATTCTGAAGCTGATAAATAGGGCCCTTACACTAGTAGAAAACTTTTTTGGCTCTCTGACCCTGTCAGTGACATTTACAATTAAATGCAGTATTAGACTGAATGGGTTTTTATTGAAATAGCACTAGCTCTTAGTAATTTATTTGGTAGTTATAAGCCCCAGAGAGACATTAAAATAAAGGTGCAGTGGGATCTGATATAGGATGCAAACAGTCATGCTTCCTGCCTTGCCACACATGCATGGCAGGAGACATGGTTGTGAGATTCCACATCAGATCCCGTGCTGTCATATCCTGGGCTCCTTCTGCACCAGCAAGTAGCAACCTTGGCTCCCAGCAACAGGAACATGCTATCTGCTCCTGTGGTTGTGAGCCCCAGTCAGATGATCAGAGCTCCCAGCCTGGGGAGTGCACCATGCATGCCTGCAGCTGAGAACTCCAATCAGCTGGAGCACACAAGTCTTGAAAGTTTCCCGTATGCTCCAGAGGCTTGGCACTGGCAATATGTTCAATTTAAGGCATGGTGGGAAGCAGCCATAAGTATTAGATATATTTTGTGTTATAATTTTGTGGCTTATTCCTTGTTTTATCATACCATGAATTGATTAAATGTGTGGCCAAGCCACTACTTGCGACTCAAGTTAACCAGTTGATCCTGTCTTTAGTGTAACGTCTATTAGCCATAGAGACCATTTCTTGGTGAGAACAGCAGGACATGGGTACACTGCATAACTGAGCTCCTATTTATTCATAGTTTGTATGAGATATTTCCAATATGTCTTTAAAGACGTCCCCTAGGTCTGTAATACTGGAAGCATCATAGAAGCTGGCATCACATATAAACAGAAGATGAATTATGTGCTTCACTGAATGAAGTGGGACACCGGAGACTCAAATCTATTCTTAGCATTGGCAAAAATTCACTGGTTTGTTGAGAGAGTCAGTTTTGTGCTTTATTTTTCCCTTGAGGATTTGAATCATAAGGGATGCTGCTCTTCTGTGCTATTAGCACTGTGCAGCTAGTACAATGGTTACAGGTCAAGAATAGGAATAGTTTGAACCCCTTATTCTACCCCAGACCCCAGAGCAGTGTTGGAGTTAAGTTCTGTTGGGACATATCAGAGATGTGGGTTTTCCGGAAAATTCTGAATTGGAAAATTTTCCAATGCCCTAAATAGAGCATGATCTGATTTAGCATGTTTATTTGACTTATATTTAGTAACAAAACTAAAAAGTACCCCATGTTAATTTTATGTCCCTAAATCTACAGGTACTTGAACTGAAATATTTGATTAGGAAAAAAAATAAATACAGCACACTTAATGTAGTTTAAATGTTATATTTTAAAATAAATTCAAAGCTTTATGTGGAAAGAACTTATTTTTATTGGAATACTTGTAAAAATGTAAAGACAATACCCAATAGCATGTACTTCCCTTACATTGTTTGTTTAAATTTAAGAAGAAAAACAAATGCACTGAAAACTGTTGTCACGCTAATTTTAGCACACACAAAGAACTGTGCATGATATGCCATGCTTTGGTTTTGATTTGACCTGCACAGCCAATTAGGTAAATTCATAACTTGATTTTTGGTTTGGATTATTATGCGATCGTATTTACCCTCCTGTTTACAAATCAGTAAAACATATATGTACTCTCTCTCACACGTCCTAAGGATAATCACCTGAAAAACATTAATTACAACTTTGAAGCTGCCAAGCTGCCTAATATTGTATTGGCATCCATTCATTGTTACTAATAAATTTTATGAAACAATGAATTTTTAGAAATGGAAAATTTCCCACGCAAAGGTAAAGCACTGGAAAATTTTCCACTCCACATCTCTGGGACATAATGTGTTGAACTATTGTGAGATAAATAAGAAGAGTGATAAGCACACTTAGTGGTTGTAGGAGGATACTTTCCTACTTTCCTCAGACCTTTTATGTAGTATATGATGAAAATTCAAGAGGCAAAATGGACAAAATATTAGACAATCTTTCTGTCCTTTGTATGTAAATGCATCAATTTCACAAAAATAATTTATTTCTAAATCAGAGTCAAGGCTTTACTTGCATAAAACAAGAAAATATTTCCAATTTGTCACAGATACAGTGATTTGCTCGGCTAATAAACTGTGATAGGGCTTTTCTCCATTATTACAGATAACTTACTGTTGACAACAAAGCAGTAAGAATCAGATGTCTGCTTGCTTCACAGAGTGATACATGAACAGAGACTGGGGCAACAATTTTTATCATGCACAGCAGATAAGCCTCTGTCTGTGATCTCTTAGAGGAAGAGATCTCTGCTTCAGTAGAATGTTCACTGACAGAAACTGGTATATAACACTGAGGTATCCAGAGGTGCCATCCATATTTTGCTATAAGAAAGAGCAGTAGTGTAAGCGTAGCTGTGAAGGTCCAGAAATGATCTGAGGCAAGGGTTTCTTAGGGTGATATCTTTTATTGAACCAACTACATAGTTGGTCCAAAGTTAGACAAGCTTTTGAATACAAGGCATTCTTTCTCAGGCCTCTGATCACAGGGAGCCAGGCACAGCATAGTGAAAAACAGCAAAGGGGAGGGGGTGTCTGCTACCACTGAGAATTTCTCTTATCCTCTCCTCTCTGTTGTTTTTCACTAGGCTGTGCCTGGCTTCTTGTGATTGGAGGCCTGAGGAAGAATATCTTGCAGTCAAAAGCTTGTCTAACGTTGGACCAACTACATAGTTGGTCCACTAAAAAAGGTAACCCTAAAAATTCTTGCCTCAAGCACTACATTTAGCTCTTTCTACATGCAAGTTTCCTGGACAGACTTTGGAATTTAGTTCAGAACCCAGTGGAAAAAGATGAGGGACAAAACCATTAGAGTAAATTCTCCCCTTTCAGTAATGACACAGGATTAAGATGACTGTTGAAGTAGATGCATATGATAGCATCTGATGAAGTGAACTCTTGCTCATCGAAGTTTATTCATTTATATGATTCAGTTAGTTTATAAGGTACATCTCTTCTCTGCCTTCTACCTAACCAAAATCAGTGATGTTGGGCTTGTTTACTTAGATTATCTACTGCTAGAAGTGGTAAACATGACAGAAGTTTAATCTCTCATTTTCAGGTAAGCAATAATATGCAGTTATCATAGAATGAGCAAATAGAAAAAAGTGGAGATAGTTGTTACAATGGAACAATGAGAGGTGAAAATACACACCAGTAAAATGTAAGTAGCCTTTCTAAAAAGTTCACAGCAGAACCTCTATTACCTCTACTGTGCACAGGGAACAATTTATCAGAAGATTAGGCAGATCAGTTACCTCATGCAGATACAGGCAGTCCTCAACTTACAACGTTTGTGTTACGTTTCGCACTTAGAACCTTTATAAATTGACACCTTGTTTCAACTTTCTGACATCAGTTTCAACTTTACAACGCTTGATCTGATGCGACACTACACCAGTGAACAAGTTCAAGATTCCTGAGAAGACTTCAGCCAAGAACCCTTCAAAAGTCCAAACAAGAGTCCTTCAAAAAGTCCAGCAAAGTCACCTCAAAGAAGTCCTTCCAAATCAATATTTTACAGTATAAATACATTAATGTATCTATATTACGCATCTATAACTGATTGAGTACAAACTTGATTATTTTTGGTGGAAATAGGGTATTGGGCCTTGGTTCAGGAACCAATCCCCCATTTATAACGTTGCTTCCTATGGGAAAATCAATTCCAAGTTGCAACGTTTTGACTTAAGACGCGGTTTTCAGGAACCAATTGTGTCGTAAGTCTGAGGACTGCCTGTATTTCACTGCAGATAGCTGGATATAGACAATAAACTAGGCTCACTTGAAAAAAATATTACCATGGTGGTACAATTCAGTTCAGACACAACAAAAATGAGAATCATTTTTGTCATGCTGACATGTAAACTAATAACCATCTACATGCATGCAGCCTAACCCAGATACTGAAGAAATGAAGTCATCACAGTATGTTTAAGTACATCCCACAAAAACTGCGAGTTGTTTTCAGGATGACATTTAGACATACTGTGCATTATGCTTGCATTTCTACCTGACCAGAGTTGGTTCCCAGGATCCAGGGGCTGAGGAATTTCCATGTTCTCTCTCTTCAGTGGGTATCTAATTGCTGATAGAGATCTTCTTCATTCCCAGAAGAAAATCCAAAAGGAGTATAATGCATATTGTTTATACATCATGAAATTAATGGCATAAAGAAATGTCATGAAGCTAGGTAGCTTGCACTGCATATCGTGTTATTTGAAACAATGACTTAATACCTTTGCCCCATGGAAGCCAACAGAATCCAGGGCCATAATAATTTCCTACTGCAAATAAACTGGTAGTTTGAAAAATGATAAGAAAAAGGATAAAAATTGGATTTCTGTATTTCACTTGCATCCAGAAAGTGGGTTAAAAAAAATGTCTGTACTTGACAGGGAGATTGCAACTTCAAAGTCGAATCTGTTGGGGAGTATGTGGGGTAAATTAAAAATGACATAAAGGGGAGTTTCAGATTTTGTACTTGCTCAACATTTCCTTATTAATTTCTTGTGATGTTATCATTACAATTTCCTGTAAATGAATGCTGCTGTCTGCCTTTTTCAATGTAGAATGCCCACGGTAGATAGATTTAAAGCCATGCCATGCAGTCCAATGCAGGCTGACAGGTCCCTAGCACAAGTTGCTGTGGATCAAAGAGCTTCCTTTTCCTCAGGTGTCTGCACCCCAGTGCACAGGCAGTCAGCTGCATGCAGGTTCGAGACTGGGGAGCTCTGTAATCCACAGCTGCCTGTACTCTGGCACTCATGCAGCCAGCTGCATGCCCTGGTAAACACACTGTGAGCTGAAGAATTTTATCCTAGATCCTAATAAGTGCATGTCCTGTTATGCTAGGCCTTGAACAACTGACATGACAGAATGCATGATTTGTTGGGGTCTGTGATAAAATTCCTCAGATCCTTTTTTGACAATTAATGTCTGTCAGGAGTTTTTGATGTAAACTGAGTAAATATATCAGAAGTTTCCAGCTGGAAATGTGGGAGTGAATATTCTTCAGCTGTTTGATTTGCAGTAAGAATAGTCTTGAGCTGAAACCATCTCTTGGTGTGCTTTAAATCTGATTCTTGATTTAGCTCTGGCTTTAGAAAATATATCCTCACTTTTAATTAACTCAACAAACTCCTTTTTTTTAACGAACAAAGTATGATACACAATTACAGTTTAGACCTTAGTTTATTTACATTTGGCCAATTGTAAAACTACAAAGTATAGAAAAGAAAGACACCCTCAGCCGCATCATCTTAAAACAGCCAAACACCCCAATATTCTTGTCTAGAGAGAAGACTACGAACATCACCATAATGAAAAATTAGCCATCTTAGTGTTTTATAAATTCTAGGTACTAGTGATATTTAGGACCAGATTCTCAGCTGCAACAAATTAGCATAGCTTTATTGACATGATTAAGAATCTCCCTTGGTTTTAGGATGGTCACACCATTTAGATTTATGTCATTTTTGTGATATAAATCAAAGTATTTTCTGCACCAAGAAATGAAGATATTTTAAACTAGATTTAAATATTTCAGGTATGCTAAATATATTCCCAGTTTTCCAAAATCTTAAAATTCCATCTTTCCTGTGGAAGAATATCTTTTATGGGAACTCATTCAATGGATTTCATTAGAATTCCAGGGGTATTCAGTAGAATTTGCTCTTCTGGGTAGAATTTTAAGTGTTCAAGAATGTATGGTGAATGCTATTTCTGAAGCTATTCATTTTTCATCGAGTGACGTCAGATTCATTTTTTGCAGTCAAGTATATCAGAACTCATTTTAATTTAAATTTCTTTGTGTGTATAGTGGGAAAGTTTGTATTTCCAAAGTCTGGGATTTAAGGCTTGGAACATTTTATCCTTGAAGACAGGAAAAAAAGCAGACACCAGTTGTTTTAGCTTCAAGACTCCTGCAAAACTTGAGATGTTTGCATGGGACACTTCATTTTATTGAAAGGGAAGATGTAGTGTAGTGGTTCAAGCAGGGCTAGGAATCAGAACTCCTTGGTTCTGCTCCAGTAACTGAAATACTTTTGGGGAAAGTCATTTAATCTTCCTGTGCCTAGTGACTATATAATAGCAACTAGGGCACTTAAATGCTTTGAGTACTGGTGCTAAAAGATACCATATAAACACCAAATGTAATTGGTGCTCTCTTTCATTGAGCATATAGTAGCATCCCCCCTCACAATTATAATTTGTTAATAAAATTCCATATGAAGATGTAGGGAGGTAAAACATCTCTTTTTAAACTACTTTCCCTTCTTAAGCACTGCAAGTGAAAATAGTTGTTTTAATTGGTATCTGCTTTTTGCAGAATGCACAGAAATGAAGCCTAAGGGAACCTGATGTAGATTAAATCTTTGATCTGCGTTAAAGCCACTTTTGAAAGTTCCCTGAATTCTTTTGGGCACTTCTAACTTCCATCTGACCTTTTCATGTGCACCCATTCCGTTTGCATTTCCTAAGGGGTAACTATTTTGTACTTTATAGTAAGAGTGGTTCATCAGATAGAAGTCAGGAGAGCAGCAGTCTAAGAGGAAAAAGTAGCTTTTGACATTGGAACTTTGGAAATAGCAAGGTATAGGAATTTAATATATCACTGGAGAATGTTATTAAACTCTGAAAATACAGTATCTCTTTTTTAATTAGAATACATTCAGCCTCTAGATTGTAGATTTTTTTCTCTAACAAAAATGTAAAGAAATTACTAGTTAAATAATTATTAAAATCAATCAAAAAAAAAAAAGAGCTGAAGTAGCAGGGAAAATGGTATGTCTATTTAAAATATTACTGTCCTGATTAGATGCAATAGTTCAGAGCAAGACACTTACACACTTAAAATTTCTGGTGGCATTATTTTATACTCCTATATAATGCATATTAAAGGGATAGTCTATGTGTTCTTTATCAAGACATTGTATCTATATTTGTATATAAATGACTGAAAGCCACAACCTTAAAATGGCAGTCTCATTTGGACTTTTTACATTCCAAAATTTGGGGTTTAACTTGAGCCCAAAGTAAGGCCAGCTGGGAAATTCTTATCACCTGGGTTTTGACTTCAAACCTTCCTGCTGTTTGTTTGGTCCAGAGTTTTGATGTGGTCAGTCTGAGGAAGGAACCATCTAGGATTAGATCTGAAGTGAAATTATCCCCAAAGTTGAGGCCTGTTTATAAAATGGGATTTGTTTCTATTTTATATGCTTCTGCTTCAAAATCGTATATTTAAGCACTTGTCTACACACAGAAGTTAACAAAAGTACCTGTCATAGCATTATACCCAAAGAATCTTATCTGCCCATGTCATACAATTAGTTTTTCTACAATATTAATCCAGAATTTTTACTTTAATGTGGTATGTTTACACAGGAAGCTGTTTTCTGCAGTAGCTCTTGGGGTAAATTTCCCCATGTAGACAACCCCTAAATTCTTTCTGTTAATTTTAAATAAGAAGTAGAGGAACAAGTAGACAGCATTGTTGGAAGATTTTGTACATGGTACTGCTCTTATCAATCTGCAGGTTGACTATTTGCTGGATTAATTTTTAATTTCTTTTTAATTTTCTGTAATTATTTTGCAGACCTGTTAACATTTTGCTTGTCTGTTTCTCAAACTACATGCCAAGACTGTAGGGTTTTCTTCAACTCAGTGATAGTCTGCTGGAGTTGGGAAGGTGTTGACTGATGGCAAAGCAATGTACTGATCAGTACCCTCCATTTTGCACAAACAAGCTACAGAAGTACCTTACTGCAAGGCTTATCTCCAAAGGTATAGGCATTTGTGCAAAGCCTCTCCTGGCATTGTAAAGCTACATAGTGACACAATAAAACTTCTAAATCAACTCTTGTGTTTTAAGACTTCACCCTAATAAGATGGCTAATTTTTACGCTCATAACAGTGAATCATGGAGTCCAATGTTATGAGATATTTTTACTTCTAGGTGTCAAGTTCAAGTGCCTCAAGGGCTTCTTCTGATCCTCTGTAATTCCCCATAAACAGTCTCCCTGCAATGCAAAGTTGTGAATCCTTTTAACTGTTTGGTCAGCACAATAATAATCCCTTGCCAACCATGGTTGACGTTCTCATGGGTGGAATCTCTCTCCTATAGCAAGGTTGTATCTTCACTGTTACAAAATAAAACCTTGCTAGCTTTATAATGCAAGTGCCTGTAAACACCTAACCTGATTTAAACCCTTTAGAAGTCGATAGAAAGATTTCTGTTGATTTTAGTGCTCATTGCAGAAGAGTCACAGGGATGGCTTTATTGTTCTTCATGTTTGTAGGGTCAGACCCCCAAACAATAAAAAATGATCTCTGTAATTTCCAAAACTTAAAATTATTAAGTTGCTTATTATTGACTTATGATTTATTTAGGGTCCAGCCCTGCACCAAGGTTTTCAAACAATGTGCATTGCAGAGGTGCCTTGCAACAGTGTTGTCATGTTATGTGCTAGTAGGCTAACTACTACCAGCTTAAGGAGGTGAATCAAGTGAGAAATGCAGGAGTGCAAAGAATTTACAAGAAAACCTACATTATTAAATTGCCAGTTAATATAGTGAATTGAACCTGAAGGCTTTGACAGAGAGGAAAATTGAGTATGAACAGCATCAGACATTCTTGGTTGTTTTCTTTTTTTCCCACTGGACATGAGAGGCAGGACTGAGCCCTCCCTCTTTCCCTCCTCCATAGGCTCTTTCCTACACCCTATCTTATTCAGTCTGATCAAAGCACAACGGTTGTGCAGGATCTGCTCACCTAATGTTAACTGATAAGCGGTAACATTTTCTGTATGGCTTAGTCTCATACAGTTGTGAAAGAAGAAAAAGGAAGACAAGAAGCTAATGCTTCTGTGTGTCATCTCCCCATTAATATCTATGTGCTTAAAGAAACCAGCGCAATAATACAGGCACTTCATTCAGTGTTCCAAGTCCACATGCATAACAGTTTACCATTTCTTACACAAAGCTGTTTATTTTACTTACCTTCATGGAAGGAGACATAAACTAGTCTTTCTTCAAACTCTTGAATGTGTCTGAAATTATTAACCATTTCCAGGGGTTCAGGATCATCAAATCGTGTGCAGTACAGGGCTGTTTCTAATGCCAGCAGCTAAAAACAGAGCACTCAGTTCAGTATACAGGGTATACAGTGTAGGTGTATTTAGACATGACATTGGAAATCATTTAGTAAGGAGTGTTTGCACAGAGATCAGCAGAATTGGTGGGATATTTTATGCAGTAGTTTGTGTGTGCTGGGTGAGCCCAAATGCAGTGCGCAAATGTGACTTCAGCTGTCCAACAAGCTGTTTTTCTATTATGTATGCATTTGTGAATTTAATTTAATTCATATTAGATCAAATGTAGAAAGGGTAATTGTTGTTTCATAGTGGGCATTTGCATCCTTTTTGTTCTTGTTTTCCTTTTTTCTAATGTTTGAACTCTCTGCCTTCCTTAACTGATGAACCATTGAACAGTGTTCATTAAATCCCCAGTAAAATGTGGATGAGTGGAACTGCTTTTAAGCATGTATCTACTATTTCCCTCTTAATTTATTGGTGGCCTACCTCAGAGGCAAACATCTTTCTTTTTTTTCTAAGATGTATAAACAGAGACTAGATGTGGGGAAGAGCCAAGATAGCTTTTGGGAGATAACCCTCCCCTAGGTAGACTTCAGGTTTTAGAAACAAAATCCAGCCCAGAAGTTGTTCAGAACTGGGTTCTATTTTATTTAAAAATCATTGCAGTTCAAGGCTTCAATAAGCAGTTCCATGTATGGCATATGCCTAAAAAGGCACAAGATGGGAGTAGCAATTTACAGAAAAAACTTGTAAGGACTAAGTGGAGACAAAAAGTAAGAACATGAGCTTACTATGATTTCCAAATAGGTATCTCTTTTTGTGCCTGTTTAACTGTGGGATTTTTTTTTTTTTATCTATGATTGCCGTTTTTAAAACACTATGGGTGCATCCAGATAAGCACGCACGTGCAGTATGCAGCACCACAGACAGGTCTGCAGTGCTCCACCCCCACCCTGCATGCACTGCACAGGCATTCCTCACACTGCTAATTTGCAGCCTGGCAGGGTGGAGGAGGGAGATGGGTCGATGGCAGGAGATGCTGGTGTCAAAAAAAACCTGGACCTAAAAGAAATAAATAAGTGGGGTGGTGCATGTGGTGGCAGCATGTGCTGCCTGAAACTGGAGCCTGGCTAGCTGAAGCCATGCTCCGGCTGCTGGCCAAGTCAGGCTCCTTGCTGCAGGATCACCGCAGCTGCAGCACCACCCCCCCCGGGAGACCCCCAGGACCCCAGGTAAGGCTGCTGGGGCCAGCCCAGGTGCTCGCCCTAGCCTCCCCTACCCCACCCTAGGTAATGTCCTGTACACAAGAGCACTGCATGCATGGGGGTTCCCCATGGACAAGTAACATCAGCACACCTTGTCCACTGCTCTTTGTCCCCAGGGAAATGTATGTTCCCTCTTGCGGGGATGTGCCCTATTAAGATAGCTTGCTTCTGATTTTCAGATGAACTACCAAATACTGTAGGACAATTGAATTTAAGTTATCCCAGTGATTTACAGCCCCAAATTTATGGCCCCCAAAACAGAGATCCTATTAAAATGGGACTGAAAAACTGTCATTTAACATGTTTATTCTAGATAATACCTCAACAAGAGTATTTCCATTTGCAGTCCCTTGACCCTTGCACATCAACTATAAACAAATAAGAAAATTACTGAGGCTGTGATCTTGTTTGCATTCAAAGGATTAAGTTGAATAATTGATACAATATTGATATAACACTAAAATCTTTTAGTATTATAATGGAAAATTTCTTATTTACGTACGTTAGTAAACCTCAAACATGAAATCTATTTGGTAGTATTTAATTTAGCATCAGACTCTAGACTACACTGCCAGGTTAGATAAAATACTGTTTGATTTAAATTTACCTGTTCTTCTGAAATGTGTACAGGATGTCGGAAAACGGTCCAAAGAACACTAGGGTAGCAAGGAGGAGTGGTCAGGGATCCTTCATAGCGATAATACTCATTCATGTTTTTGGGAAGCAGTTCTTGGATATTGAAACCTGGGACTTGAGCCTTCTGGCCTGAAAGAGAGCATCTTTGTAAATACTGTATTTTTAATATATACATCTCAGCACTAACTGCATCACCCTAACATGCTATTGGGCTGCACTGCCTTGTTGACTCTCAGCATAGGTGAAGCCCTGTGAGGCAAATTTATTTTTCAGCAAGTTTTTTAATTTCAAATATATCTGATGTACTCTAACAGATGTTAGCCCCAATTTAATCTAGAAATGTAGTTAATTAAACATCTTCCAAATCTGGTGTTACATGTTAAATACTAAGCCAGAATTCTAATTAGTGAGAGAACTTGCTTTTCCCTTTAGAGTGCATTCTTTTCATGCAATTAAGCATGGAATTATCCAACACATTTCCTTATAAGTAGTGCAGGCAGTCACCCAATGTTAGGGTTTTAGAGGACTAAATTTTTAATGTTTTCTGCTGTTCATTATGGTTTGAATGTTGTTACTGGTAGAATGAAGAGTTTCTTGGTAACACGATGTTACTCATCTCTTCCACATTGTCTTGCACTTTACTGTATGCTCCAACACTAGTTTTTAAAAATATATGTGGAGGAAAATATTGTGAAATCTGACCACTTACTGGGATTGAACACACCAATATTTAGTATTTGCATGCAATCAGCTATCTGAATATTTAACTAAGGCTCTGTTAACTAAAGTAATAGTACATGCAAGAAATAGGGTCTCGTAATGATCCATATGATGGTAATGTATGTAAGTGTCTATCAAGCTAGCTTTACTGTCCGTTGAAGAGGAGTGCACTGTGTTTGGCACTGTTCTGAGACAGTTTTCATGGAAGCTTGCTATGGACTTCTTCATTGTTTCCTAACATTTAAGGATGTCCATTTCAACCAAGGTTGATATTTTTGTTGTTGTTTTTGTTACCTTCAGCCACTGTTGATCCCTTGGACACTGTAGCCACTCACCTTTGTATTTCACGTTCTGGAAATGACTGAAGATCTTTTCATATGATGGATTGAATGGACCTATCTGTAACAAAGAGACAGGAGATGTTCGAGTACTTGGAATTCTGTGAATATAATTGTAAATTCTGTAGCAGCTGACGTCAGCATTTGATTGACAAATTTATCTTTTGATGAAACTATCCCACAAGACACATACTTATTTCATAACGCACACTGATATAGCCCTTTACATGAGAAATTAACTGTCTTTTGGCATTGTTTTGTTTTGTCTTTTCATGTTAATACTCTCGCAATAGAATAACAAACTAGAGGTACTGGATCTGCTTTTTCATATTACCCAATATTAAATTGTCATTTGTCTGCAAAGAGACTGCAGGATTGGTTCCCTAGTGCAAATAGCTTTATTGAATTGAAAATATTACATTTTCTTATTCTGAGTCTTATGCCTTATGTGGGTCATTTCTGCACAGAACACCAAGGATAGCTACTTAGATAAAATAAATACTGTATTTTCTCACATGCTTCACGCACCTTGTGCTTGTTCTTCAGCATCACTCACTCTGTCCTTGCAAACTCTTCAGTATGGCTTTAACACAGTTGCTGCTGAATTTGCAGCAGCTTTTGGCTGCTTTGTCCTTAGCTTAACTGCTCAGCCAGTTTGGCAGTGGCTGTGATGGGTTACAGCTTGAGCGGCATAGTATGCAAGGATAGTGAGTGACCAGCAGCAAACTCTGCCTCTCCTCCATGCAGCCTTAGAAGGGAAAACATGGGAAGGCAGCACAGCCCAGCAGCCATTACAGCAACCGCATTCCTCTTCTGATGTGGATATCAGCTTTCTTACTTAGAACAGGCACCCCAGTTTTGGAAGCCTGATTTTTGGGGAAAGGGTGTGTGTGATATACAAATAAATACAAGAAGTGAAGTGTGTGCGCATAAGTTAAAGTTCATAAAACTATGTGAATGCTCACATACAGGAGCGAAGAGGTATAGCTCAGTGTCCCCATCTAGACCGCATTCTCTGGAGGTATGTCTGTGTTGGGAGCGTGACTGTAGTACATGTCCTTATACCTAAACTAACTGTAACGTAGCTGGTTTGGATAGCGGTGAAGCTCCCGACAGCTGCTAGAGTTGACCAATGCCTGTTTTATGAGTTCTTGAGAGCTAATACTCAGCAATTCATCTGGCAGCCAGACACATTAAATATGTGTACTTCGTTTAACTGTGAAAGCTACTATGTGGCTTATTTTCATCAGACAAAAAAAAGAATCTTGTTAAATCTAGAGATGTGCTCATTGATGTTCTGTTTGTTTGTTTAAGCAGCATCATGCAATTAGTAATTTGTAGAGAAAACAAAAGCCTAGACTCTTTCTTAGCCTTAAAATGATGTGCTGTACTATCATACTGTGCACAGCTGTTTTGATTTCACTTTATATAGTAACCCAAATGCACTGAAATTTAGCACATCTGTTGTCTAATTCCTAGACCTGCTCAGAAATCAGATGAAGTAATATGCAGTAAAACTAGAAATTTCTGAACCATCTCTAGAATGTTTGCCTGTTCTCTTGTAACCAGAGCTGAGTGAGCATCATGAATTTAGCTCTGTTCTTCTTTGTGAAATGTCCACAAGCAGGTAGGTGCTTCCTCAAACATTTTTTATTTGTGATCTGATCATCAACAATTTGATTATTCTACACTCAGCATCTTAGAATTGTGAACTGTATTTATTAGTCCTTTTTGCTTTATGTGATTTTTATATATGACCAATATATAATATTGTTTCTCTTCCCTGATTATATTATCAACTCTGGAGGAGAACTTAGGGAACCCTTTTTTGCTTTGAAACTTTAACAGAGAGGGAGAAGGTTAAGCAGGAAAAGGGTATTCTAGAAAACATCCTTTTTATTTTCTAGTCCATGAAAGCTTTTCTTGAAAAAAATAGACTTCTGTAAAATATTCCTGGTCAAATGTTTTATAGAATTTTTAATAGAAAATTGGATTTTGAATGAAAAGAAAAGTTTCGCAGAAGGTATATGTGCTTCTTGACCATTTTGTAGTTTTTGATGGCAATTTTTTAAATTTTAAGGTGTAGATTTTTTGACTCTTAATTTTTTGCAGAAAAAAATCCAGTCAGTTTTACTGTACAGTTGATTGGCCCAATTCGGAGTTCAATTTTCTGTTTTGTCTCGCAAAGTAATTCTATATATACATAGGGCATAGTTTCAAGAGATTCCATCAGAACACGGATTCATTTAATTACTCATTGACACACTTCAGTAATGGGATTTGGAAGCTGGTCCCTCTGTCAGGTTGAAAAATCTAATACATCTTCTTGTCTGTAATTTTGTGTCATTATAAGAATCATTGATACACAGTACCCCTGAAGTGCTAGATGCCACTTGTGTGGTCAGATACAAATCTCAGGTAATTATTTGTAGCAAGATTCTGCCCACCCATGTCTCCTTGTTATGTTAAGAAGCGTTCCATGCCATATATACTAACTGCCTTCAGTGCTATTTGAGAATATCCAAATGTGCAAGTTTGAGTTCAATTTTGTACTATAACTTAAGAAGCTTGTCTGCTATTTAGTTTGTAAAAGTCAAATTTCAAAAGGTTGAGCATGCCTGCAGCTAATTTTTAAAATGTGAGAGAATACTCAACACTTATTTCTCAGTATGTACTCAGTTTGCAGGGATGTGAGTGAGGGCACTATCTAGCCCTGTATTTTGTTGGTAGGTGCAGTGGGAAAGGGAAGCCATTGATCCAGACACACCAGCACTGATAGGGCTCCCAGTCGAGTTTTTAAATCTCTGTCCCCGAACAAGGCATGCCTTTTACCTCAATGAAGATAGCCAAAACTGCAAATCCATCTGATTTATCCATTGCTGCTGTTACATCAGGATATTTGTCGGAGTTGTAATGTACAATATGTAGCTACAAAGAAGGAGAAATTACAGCATTATAACTTCTGGGTAGTAATAACTCTTCTGTTTTATCGACTGATTGAAGCAAGAGCCTTAAATATGATGAGATAAGGCCTTTTGCCCACAGGAACCTGCTCCCCTGGTAGAGGCAGGTGCAAGGGGGAGAGAAACAGGCACTGACATAACGTTCCTTTCTCCTCTTCCACCTTCTAATGTTTGACAGGGATAACCTTTCCAGCACAAGAAGTAGGGGCAGTAGCAGGTGTTCCCTTGCCCAGTACTTACCACAGCAGTCAAGGAATACTTGCTTGGCTGAGCAAGGTGGTCTTTTGCACAGAGTCCTCTGCTGGAGTGGTTTTGATGGAGACCAGAGTAGTGAATATCTAATTAAGATGCATAGTGCAGTTTGCCCCTCTAAGCATTGTTATTTCAGGCTGTCTATTCTCTACGGATATCACTGCATAATTTACACCTGGGGCATATTTCAAACTTTTCTTTGCAGCCATTATAATTCTGTATCAATCTCAGCTTTCAATTAATCACTAAGTGCAAAAGCTGGTGCTCTAGACAACTGCTTTGGGGCCAAGATAAATAGAGGATAGACATTAAGATTGGCTATGAAAAGACAAAGACATTTCAAAATAATTCCAGGAGAACTTGATTAGTGTTCTTGCAGGCCAACTAATCAGAGGCATAAAAATTCACTCTGACTTCTTACTGTTCTTTTAATGAAGCCAAAAACAAATGGCTCATGGTTTTTCATAGATTTCATAGACATTCGGGCTGGAAGAGACCCCGGAGGCCACCAGATTACCCCTGGGCCTGCGCTTTTCCAGGCTGAAGAGTCCCATGGCTCTCAGCCTCTTGTCATAAGGTCTGTTATCCTGACCTCTGATCATGTGTGTGGCTCTTCTCTGGACTCTCTCAAGCTTCTCCACATCCTTTTTGAATTGTGGAGCCCAAAACTGGACACAGTACTCCAGCTGCGGCCTCACCAAGGCTGAGTACAACGGGAGAATGGTGTCCTGGGATTTGCTTGAGAAGCATCTATGAATGCAAGCCAGTGTTTTGCTCGCTTTACTAGCCATATCACATTGGTGGCTCATGTTCATCTTGTGGTCAATCATGACCCCCAAGTCCCTTTCATCTGTAGTGCTAGCCAATGTAGCACTGCCAAACCTATAAGCATGCTGCAGGTTTTTCCTCCCAAGGTGGAGAACCTTGCATTTTTGGGTGTTGAACACCATCAGGTTCTCATCCGCCCATTTCATGAGCCTGTCAAGATCTGCCTGGATCACCCTCTTGTCCTCAGGTGTGGATGCTTTACCCCAGAGTTTGGTGTTGTCAGAGAACTTGGCCAGCCTGCTTCTGACACCATGGTCTACATCATTAAAGCTATTAAAAAGTAAGGGCCCTAGGACAGAGCCCTGAGGGACCCCACTAGTCACAAAGCATCACGACGATTGAATTCCGTCAACCACCACGCCCTGGGTCCTGCTGTGAAGCCTGTTCCCCAGCTAGTCAAATTGTTTTGTTCTCTGCTAACAGGCTCTCAGTTATTAGCAGGGATCCAGGTTTTCCGTTTAACTCCCTTAATCAGAGGAAACCACAAATTTCTTATTTTAGTGGAGAAACCCACGGATTTTGCAATTTTGCAAGAGCTTTCTGCAGCCTACAGGGGCTGGGAGGGACCTACCATTAATTTACTTTGGCATAAAGCAGGCCCAGGCATTTATTGAAGCAGCTGTGTCTTTAATATTTGATATATGACTGTCCAGTTTCTAAGCGGCTGGGGGTCAAATGCCCTGTTGACCACACCAGCGGGGCTACACACCAACAGACTGCATTAGGGGAAGCCACAGACCCCCCTGGGCCACATGCTGCATAGATGCCCCCCGCTGCTGCACTGTGAGGGCACCCTCCCACCACTGCACCATGTGGCCCCAGACTCACTTCCTTAGCTCCCCCGACTGCGCCAGACTGCATTGCCCTGCCTGCTGCGTCCAGAGGAGGGAAGGGGACCCCGGACACTCTCTGGCTGCTGTTGCAACAGCAGCAATGGGTGAAGTGGCCAGGCAGGAGCCCAGGGACTGCAACTTGACCCCTCATGTGCTGCCAGTTAGACAGTCGGGTCGTAGATCAACTTTGCAGGTTCAACAGCAGCAATGGGTGAAGTGGTTAGTAACTATGGTTACTAACCTAAC